TGCATGTGCACACATATACATATGTGTGTGTGTGTGTATGTGTGTGTATTAAATATTTATTAAAAAAAATACATAAAGTTTTTGTTTATAACTTTTTTTGTATATAACTAAGTTTCTCTCTGTATATATATATATATATATATATACTTTAATATATATATATATATATGTGTGTGTATGGTATGTATATTTTTGGACATTATATAAAATGTCCAAAAAATTATATACCATGCTACATTTATATACCGTACTACTGAAGGTTTACAATATTCAAACATTATAGATGGATATGACTTTTTATAGGGTTAAGATGATAAATGATGATCCAATAAATAATCTAAGTTCAACAATAATGGTCCAATAATGTTATTTATTATTCACTCCATCACTGAAAATAGTTCTGTGACAGTGCTGTAGTTCATAATTCACATAAAAAAATTTGACTTTAAAATTACAGGTGAATTAAATTAAGTTTTTATTTTTTATATTTTCCATTTTCATTTTATATTAATTTAATATGTCTAATATGCCTAATGAAAAAGGGGCATGTTATCTTGTTAATTAGCTGAAATTAAATAATTTTTTTATATTAAATATTTTTTTCAGTGAATGTTTTTTTGTTCTTTTTTTTTTTTCAAATAATAATTTTTTTAAATGCTTTTACTTTTAGCTATAATAACCCTGTCACATGTTACTTCCAAAGTATTTCAAGGAATGATGTGTTCAGTGTCCATTAAGTGATATTATCACGCTATCATGTCTATTTTTGTGGCACTTCAGTCTAAAATAATTTGCTGCTGTAATTTGGCTTAATCTGGTTCCACATCATAATTCCTCTAAATCTTCTTTATCATTGACCATTAGATTTATTTAGATTCATTCATTGTAGAACTTCTGTAATTAATTTATCAGCAATAATCTGATAAATCAGTCTCAGTAAAGGCATTTTGCATCAGTTCTGATGGTGTGTGTGTGTGTGTGTTTGTGTGTGTGTGTGTGTGTGTGTGCGTGTGTGTGTGTTCTCAGGTGGAGGCTGAACAACACAGAAGTCGTTATTGGAAATGACGATCACTACAGTCTGATGGGAGGAAACCTCGTCATCAGCTTCCCCGACAAGAGCAAGCATGCTGGGAACTACTCGTGTCTGGCCAGCAATGAGTTTGGGACGCTCGTCAGTCAGAAAGCCTCTGTTCAGTTCGGATGTGAGTCACTCTTACAGAAGAGCTCTATTAAAGCTGCCCTGAACGGCCTGTTGACTTACTCACAAACAGTCTCTTTCACACACACACACACACACACACACAGAGCTGTTATTGTTCAGAGCTTGACGGATATTAATTTCTGCTGTCAGACGTCTGAAGCGTTTGTGCGGTTTCTGCTGAATTATGACTCTAAAGTGTCCTCTGTGCAGTTTTACTGCTATTATGTGTGAAATTGATGTGTGAGTTAATTAAATTCTATATGTGGTGTTCTCCTGTTTTCAATTATATTAGGCAACATTTTTATTCAGAAATTGCATTAATAGACATTTTTTAAAAGTTTTTCAAGGAGAAATATTAAATTTTTTACCAAATATGTAACTTGTAAAAATGTAACTTATTTTTATTATTGCTATTTTTATATGTATTTATTTATTAAAGAAAATATTGTTAAATTATTATACACAATTCATTCAGTATTATTGTTATCATAATTATTTTACGTTATATTACTCCCGAGGTTGCCATGAATAAGGGTTACTACACAAAACTAAAACTGAAATAAAATCTCCATCTTGTGTTTTAGACTTGGACATGTTTTCCTCGGACGAGCGGGAGGCGGTCTATGTGAAGGAGGGGCAGGGGGCGGTGCTTCTGTGCGCTCCGCCTCCACACTTCCCAGGTTACCATGGCACCTGACTCTATGGTTTGACAGTCATTTGTGAGTTTGACTGACACATTTGCATCATTTCCTGTCTGTGCTCTCTACAGAGGATCTGTTCTTCCGCTGGATACTCAACGAGTTTCCGGAATTCATTCCTCTGGACAAGCGGCGCTTTGTGTCTCAGACCACCGGGAACCTCTACATCTCCACCGTACGAGCGTCAGACAGCGGGAACTACTCCTGTTTCGTCTCCAGTCCGTCCATCGCCAAGAGCGTCTTCAGCAAGTTCATCCCACTGGTGCCCATCGCCGAGCGTGAGTCTCTTTATCATCGTCCTACACTGAAAAAATATATTAAAAAAGGATTTTCCCTTTTGAATTAGGTTTATTTTTCTGACCGCACTGGCAGATATTTTTTTGTTTAAAATATGAACTACATTTTTCTGAAAACAAGACTTTAAGTCATTTTGCATCTCAAGTAAATGTATCTTGATTTAAGAATCTTCAGATGTGTACTTACTAGAAAACAACAAAAATACTGAAGGAGAAAATCAGTTTTTGCAGTTTAAATCAAGGTTATAGGTGTTGATGTTTTAAACCCATTTGCTTTTAACACCAGTGTAAATACTACTGTTTGTACTGTTCTTACTAGGGATGCACCGATACCACTTTTTCCAGTACTCGCACATGCTGTGTGGTATCGGCGTTTGGTATCGGGGCATTTTTACGAGTACCTGAGCACAGTATCGGGCCCGATACCGATACCAGTATCGGTATCGGTGCATCCCTAATTCTTACTAATACTGTTTTTCAGTTTCTGAATAAAATGTGAGTGAGGCTTATGCAGAGGTGCTGCCAGATGATAAGAGTGTTGTTATATCTTCCATTGTAGAAACCACTTGATAGTGTTACTGAGTGAGGAAGGAACAGCAAAGATCTGAAAGAGAAAACAAACTGTCTGTGGTTTCTGAAGTATTTCTGAGTCAGCTGGTCCTTATTTTAGGTCTGTTCAAGCTCAAAAAATCTCTTCAAAGAAATCCTCAAAGAAACCTGCTCCACACACACCAGAGCAAGCTTTCACACACGTGTTCAGGAATAATAGTATCCTACTTCAGCATGACTGGACGGGATGAGTTTCTGATCACTCAGCAGTGGATGTTCTTCTATGTGATGACACAAAACTGTCCAGAATGAATCGTTTCTGCTGTTTAGTCTCAAATAAATGCTCGTTTTCAACAGTAGAGAAAGTTTGAGGTCTGAAAGTAACCATATATTTCAGTATATCAGTAACAGTTTATCCTAAGACAACATTGTTTTTATTCCCATTTATATTCTGAAGTGTTTTACAGAGGGGTTTGTTTATAAATCATTCACACTGATTTATACATAACAACATGGTGAAAATATATTTGTTTTCTGTCTGTTGACAGTATTTTCTGATTTATGGAGTGATAAAAAGAGAAATCTAAAATCTCCTCTGTAAAAACCTTCAACTCTAATATGTCAACAAAATCAAGCAAGAATTTTGAACCTGGATTTATCCAATGTTCAGATTTATTTTCTGTAAATGCGTACAATTAGCGCATATTTATCTAGGAATCGCCTGATTTTCATATTTAAACATGACATTTTAGAAAACTTGTAATAAAAAGCAATGTTTCAATTCTTAATGTACTGTGATCAGCTTGTGTTAGTTAGTTATTTTTATCCTATTCACCTGTGCTGTCTTGCTTTAATTCCTCATGAACATTTAATATCTAAAGCACATCTTTAGTGTAAAACTACATCCTCCGTTCAGTCCCAACATTGCATGCTCCTGATTCATACGTGTGTGTAATATTACAGTTGCTCGTGACTGTCACAGCATCATGAGAGTGTTGAGTCAAAGCGCCTCAGAGCTGATAAACAAGCAGAAGAGACTCACTCGTTCTGCTGGAAGAAAGAACGTATCCATGAGGACCTCAGTCATTCACTGCCGTCTCATATCTGCTCTCTGTCAGGTTCTCTGAGGAAATATCCCGCTGATATCAAAGTCAAATCTCCAGACACGTACACGCTGCTGGGGCAGAACGTCACGCTGGAGTGCTTCGCGCTGGGAAAGTAAGAAAAACGCCACACAGATGACTTCTCAGTGTTTGCAAGGCAGCACTTCAGTCATTTTCCTCAAACGCGTCATTATTCAGCACAATTTTCTGCAAATATTTCCGTTTGAATCAATTAACATCCGGATTTCACTCAAACTGCATTTTGTAGATCATTTCAGCTTTATGCTGTATGTGCGTTCTGCCTGTGCTCTATATAAACTCTTTTAAAACTTACATTTCTCAAGAGTACAAATCTCCTATTAACTGACACTGAAACAATGTTCAGTATTCAGAAAAGCATCAGTGACATAACTGTATTATTTGCATACTGAATTACCACTGGATGTCTTTCTTTCATGTATTTTATACTGAATTATGATGATTATATTTCTTAAAGTACAAAGATACTTTGCATGCTGAATTACCATTGGACTTTTTTCTAGCATTTATTTTCATACTGAATTATGATTAGATTTATTAAAAGTACAAAGAAAATTTCCTATTGACTTAAATTAGTGTTCAAAATAAGATCAGAGACATCATATGCAATTACAGTTGGATATCTGTCTTGAGTTGTTTCTGTTTAGTCGCAATTAATGTTCGTTTGGGATTGAAGAGGAAGTTTGAGGTCTGAAAATGACAGTATATCTCATAGTAGCCTACACTGAACTCATGTATAAATCAGAAACAACAGTGTTTTTCATGCACTGGTCAGTTTTGCTTCCATAGCATGTCTTTTTCAGACTAATGGAAAGAAAACGTCCAAAATACACATTTAAGAGTTTATTCTATGACACTTTATCTATACACATCTGTAGATTTCAATCTCAGTCCATTTATTTAAAGAGTTTTTTCCTCCACTTCAGCAGCACTTACACACACTAAAACTCATTTCTCTCTATATTCTGAAGGTTTTTACTGAGGGGTTTGTTCATATATCCTTCACACTGAATTATACAACATTATATTCCTAAAAACATGGTAAACTTTTTTTTTTTCTGGCTGTTGACAGTATTTTCTGATTTATTGAGTAATTAAAATAGAAATCCAAAATCTGTGAAATTCAAAAACTGTAATATGTCAACAAAAGCAAACAAGAATTTTGAACCTGGCTTTATCCAGTCTTCAGATTTATTTTCTGGAAATGTATGCAAATTAGTGTAGATTTAGTTAGATGATGCAACATTTTAGAAAATAATGTTTTGTAATACAAAACAATGTTGCAGTTCTTAATGTAAGTGATCAGCTGGGAACATCAGTGTCATGAATGTAATATTTGCATACTCGATAACTGATTGGTATTCTGTCTTACATGTATTTTCATACATTATATAATCTATAGTTGATAAACACAATGTGGTGAAGGTTTATGTTTTTGTAACATTGATTGTGTTTAACAAGCGGTTCTCACCATGTAATATATTGTGTGTGTGTGTGTATGTGTGTTCAGCCCCATCCCTCAGATCCGATGGAGGAAGGTGGATGGCGATCTGCCGGTTCATCGTCATAACATCAGTATGGCAGGAAGTCTCCTCCATCTCTACAACATCCAGTACGAGGATGAGGGTTTGTACGAGTGCGAGGCCGACAACTCCAAAGGCAAAGACAGACACAAAGTGCATCTGTATGTGGAGGGTGAGAGTCACATGACCTCATGAACACACCACAACCCGACATTACTGAGAAGAGCAATGCCATATTCCTACAGGTTTATTCTGGAAAGCAGCGTGCGTGTTAGAAATATGATCCCCCAAAAACATAAGAATGACAGTCACACTTTAGTTTGGGGGCCAGTTCTCACTATTGACTATTAACTCTGACTTTTGCCTCAATAAACTCCTAATTTGCTGCTTATTAATAGTTAGTAAGGTAGCTGTTAAGTTTAGGTACGGGGTAGGATTAAGGAATCTAAAATATGGTCATGCAGTATAAATAACTTCTGAAGAATAACCTCAGAAGTACTAATAAACAGCCAATATGCTAGTAATATGCATGCTAGGCAAGGCAAGTTTATTTATATAGCACATTTTCGTACACAATGGTAATTCAAAGTGCTTTACATAAAAGGAAGTAAAATAATCATAAAAAAATAATCACAACAATAAAACAAGGAATTTAAAAACTTTGAAAATGATTCTTGGGAAGGCCGGTGAGGAGACCATTACAATAGTCCACCCTGCTTGTGAGCAAGGCATGAACAAGTTTCTCCAAGTCTGGTCTGGAAACAAAACATCTAATTCTTGCAATGTTTTTGAGATGATAGTATGCTGATTTAGTTACTGCTTTGACATGACTACTGAAACTAAGGTCGGTCTCCACAATCACACCAAGATTCTTGACTTGATTTTTAAGTGTTTGATTGTTAGGTGTTAGAGTCAAAGTATGCATTCACCTTGAGAACTTCATCTTTGTTTCCATATGCAATGACTTCAGTTTTTTCCTTGTTTAACTGAAGAAAGCTCTGGCACATCCAACTGTTAATTTCATCAATGCATTGGCAGAGGGAGTCAATGGGACTGCAGTCATTTGGAGATAAGGCTAGGTAAATCTGGGTATCATCTGCATAGCTGTGATAGGCAATTTGGTTCTTTCTCATTATTTGACTTAGTGGGAGCATATACAGGCTAAACAAGAGCGGTGCAAGAATTGAGCCTTGTGGGACTCCGCATGTCATGGACGTCCACTTAGACTTATGCTCTCCTATACTCACATAATAACCTCTCCCTTCTAAGTATGACCTGAACCATTTGATTGCCATCCCAGAAAGCCCGACCCAGTTTTCCAGTCTCTCTAGAAGTATGTTATGATCGACCGTGTCAAACGCAGCACTAAGAACTAGTAGTACCAGCACTGATATTTTGCCAGATTCAGAATTTAAGCGAATATCATTTATTATCTTAATGAGCGCTGTCTCTGTGCTGTGATGCGGTCGAAAACCAGATTGAAAATTGTCCAGGTATCCATTTGAGTTTAAGTATTTGTTCAGCTGATTAAAGACTACCTTTTCAATAATCTTGCCTATAAAAGGAAGATTTGATATTGGTCTGTAGTTGCTCAATATGGTGTTATCAAGATTTCTCTTTTTCAGAAGGGGTTTAACAACTGCAGTTTTCAGGGAGTTTGGAAAAGTCCCAGAAAGAAGTGAGGCGTTCACCACTTCTAAGAGATCTGCTTCCAAACAGTTAAGCACCCTTTTGAAAAAATATGTGGGAAGTGTGTCAAGATAGCAGGTTGACAATTTAAGGTGCTGTACTATTTCTTCCAAAATTGTGCTACCAATTGCTTCAAAAGTAGACATAGTATCTTATGTCTCATAGTATCATAGTATCAATCTGTCTGACCTCTGCATAACTTGAGGATGTGCTAATCGCCTTCCTGATATTATTGATCTTCTCAGAAAAGAAGGAAGCAAACTCATTGCATTTTCTGTCAGAGAGCATTTCACTGGCAATCTGACTTGGGGGGTTTGCCAGTCTCTCAACAGTAGCAAAAAGAGTGCGAGTGTTGTTTAAGTTACTGTTAATAAGGTTTGAGAAGAATGACTGTCTAGCTTTGCCTAGTTCCACATTGAAAGCACGAAGGCTATCTTTATATATGCTATAGTGGATTTCAAGTTTCGTCTTCCGCCACATCCGCTCAGCTTTTCTGCATTGTCTTTTCATACTCTGAACTGCTGTTGATTTTCTCCAAGCTGATTTCTGTCTGCCAGACTTCTTACTGACTTTTATAGGAGCAATATCATCAATA